CCCCGACCGCTAAGACCAGCGGCGGAGAAGCAGCCAGGACGCGGGAGACCTCCGCACCATGGGCCACCGTTACCGACCCTCAACTGAGGGCGCCCCACCCAGCACAGACACGCACTCTCCTCCGGGACGCACGGACGCGTGCCCACATCGGCTGCATTCTCAGCCCTGAAGCGCGGCTCGATGCACTGAAGGAGGGGGCGCGGTGGGGCAAACGATGGGGGAGCGCCAGCAGAAAAGGTGAGTGGAGCACGTTCGGGGAGAGGAGGGGCCGGAGCTACGGGTTCCACCTGCCTGGGCGATCTCACGAGTCCTGCAGTGGCACGGGGGCCCGGACGACCACGTGCCACCCGGTGGCAAAGTGGCCAGGCTCAGGTGCAGGCCCGAACTCCGATACAGACGTGGGCCCCCCGCCCGCCCGGGTCTGTCGTCTCACACGGGCCAGGGGCTCAGCGTCACCTTCCTTGGTGAAGAGGCTTCGGAACGTGCTGCACAGGTAGAAGGTCCCGCTGCTGTGCATGTCCACGTGCAGCTGGTAGCCGTGCAGCCCATACTCGGGGCTGTCGTCCAAAAGGGGGGTGTGAGGGGGCAGCTCGTAGGGGCTGAAAGCAAAAGAAAACACACCCAGGTGTGTCAACGCCAGGGACGAAGTGCTTGAGTTGAAAACACTCTTTTTAGAGAAGAAACGAGCGTGTATTCTAAGCACCGGCCCCATCAGTCCCCTGCAGGAACCCCAGGAACCCCAACACCATGAGCTCCATGCCCCCCGCTCCTATAAAGACAGGCAGAGCCGTGAGCTGCGTAGGGGTGCCCAGACCACCCGGGCAGCAGCCCTGCAGGCCCTCGGCTCCTCCGTGCCTCAGCGTCCAGGCCCGGCTGCCACGCCTGTGACAGCCCACAGGTTAGGGACCCAGGCAGAGGGCCCAGAGCCACGATGAGCAAGGTTTTCTTCAGTAAGAGAAGCTTATACTGCACAAGGTAACAAAAGCATTCAGATAAGATTGAAAAGTAAAGAGAGTAAACCCAGGACGGTTTGGCTAAGTGGTTAGAGCACCGGCCCTTGGACCGAAGGGTCATGGGTTCGATCCCGGTTAGGGCACACGCGGGAGGCAGCCAATGGATGCATCTCTCTTTCTCTTTCCCCCTCCTTCTCTTCCACTCTAAAAAAAAATCAATGAAAAAAATATCCTAGGGTGAGAATTTTAAAAAAAAATTAAAAGTGAGACACTGTAGTGAAATGGGAAGCATGTTCCCCACCTGAAGACCCTCCGATGCACTGAAAGGACTGCGCTGCGGAGGACAAGCAAACATTCACCTGCAGGCCCGACTCACCGTGGTGAGGTCTGAGCCTCCCCGGTGTGAGCGCTCACACTGGTGCAAAGCACAGGCGGCTCCTGGACACACCGGCACCTTTGAGCAACAGGTGCCCGCCCTATAAATAACATCCGACGAGGCACAGAATCCTTAACCCACAACAAACAAAGCCACTGTGCTCTCATGAATAATCCAATTATCTCAGCAACAGCTTGGTGATTACGCCTGCGGGCTCGCGTCTGCCGATGAGGAGCAGAGTATCTTCCTAGCTATTCTCAGGATATTAAGATGGCATCAACTTGCGATTGTGTTGACTTTACGAAAACTGAATGCACAGCGAACAGGTACGTACATGGTGGCCGAGCCCAGCGTGCTCCTCTCCACGAGGTGGTGGAAGTGCAGGTTGGCCATGACAAACGCCAGCTCTTCTGCCCTCTGAAAGGGTGATTGGAAAGAACACACTTTTCAGCTGAAATGGTTGAATCTTCACAAGGTCGTGGTGAAGACCGAGTGCGTCGCCCTGCAGACGGAGGCTGTCCTCGCTGCACGCCGACTGCAGGCCGGGGCCCTGTACTGCTCATGCACCACTGCCACCTAGGTGTGCAGGTCACACTGAGAGCAGGGCCACGCCTCACCAAACACGCAGGGCGTGCGGTGAAAGGGGGCTCATCCTAGTACTTGTGAGACAGCAAAATTCTGTACTGTGCATGGCAACTGTGGAAACAGATCTTGTCGGTTCCAGGTTATCTCAAGCTCTTTTCAAAGACAAAGACGATCCCAGGAAGAGCTTCACAGATACAAGATCAGTTCCACAAATACCTAACATCCATGGTGTGACCTTCCTCCCTCCTGTACCTGTGTGGTTGGGAGAACCCACTGCCAAGGGTTAGATTCCAGCTCTTCACTCATCCATCAGGTTGGGGGACCCAGGACATGTGACTGTGCAGGAAACGAACCCCATTCCTCCAAACTCACAGCTGGCGCCGCCTGGTGCAGGTGACCAGTGGCCAGACTGAAGCCAACCGGATAGAGGGGCCCCCAGAGATGGGAGGATTCCAGTCAGGCAAACTATGGCCTGGCCTATTGGCTGTGTCACCCAGAGTGGGGGAGGGAGAGACACTGAAGCCGGGCAGGTTGAGAAGAGAAAGAGGCACCACGGGGCGATGCTGGAGCCCCAGGTCCTGGTGAGTCTTCCCACAGGGACACACCCCGCATTCTCTGAATCAAATTTAGGAACTGCTATCTTAAACACCCACGGGCCTTGCCAATGGCCAGTGTGACTCAGTGGGTGCCGACCCATGCACCAAGAAGTCACAGTTCGATTCCCAGTCAGGGCACGTGCCCGGTTGAAGGCTCGATCCCCAGTAGGGGGTGTGTAGGAGGCAGCTGATGGGTGTTGATGTTTCTCTCTCATCAGTGTTTCTCTCTCTCTCTCTCCTTTCCTTTCTCTCTAAAATCAATAAAAACCTATTTTTTTAAAAAATACCCAGAGGCCCAGCTGGGTGTGGCTCAGTGGTTGAGCATCAACCTAGGATCCAGATGATCGACATTCAATTCCTGGTCAGGGCACATGCCCAGGTTGCAGGTTCAATCCCCAGTCAGGGGCGTGCAGGAGGCAGCCGATCCATGACTCTTTCATCACTGATGTTTCTCTCTCTCTCTCTCTCCCTCTCCTTTCCTCTCTATGAAATCAATAAAGACATATTTTTTTAAAAAAAATACCCATGGGCCACAGCCACTAAGGAACCCGTGGTGAACCTGGGAACATCACACTGATGATTCTCCCAGAAGTGAGTGCCCAGAAAACAAGCCCTGAGAAGGGAACTGGCCTGTGGCCTGACTGGTGAGGAAAAAAAAACCCCTCACCTGGTGGGAGAGGGGAGTCCCTATACCTTTCCATGCAGGGCAGACTCACTCACCACCACATCCACAGGGTCAGAAACACATGGGAGAGACGCCCGGGTCAAACACACAGACAGACTCCAGAGAAAGGACAGGGAGAGGGAAGAAAGGAACGTAGGTTGCCCGAGGGGATGGGACCATGACAGTAAAGGTGGCTGTCGTCTGTGAGGGCAGAACAGCAAGGAGCCTCTGCAGAATCGAGGGTCATCTTGCCACAAAAATGCAGCTGGTGGGATGGTCAAAGGGATGCGGCCCAGGAGAAGTCCAGAAGTCCGAAAGGAGCACACACTTGATACCCGGCCCGTGGTGAGTAGACGTGGGGTCGAGAGGGAGGGACGCCTGCACCCACGAGGCCGCCCCAGTCTTACCTTCCACAGCCCCACCAGGAGGCCTGGGTTGAGGTGGAAGATCCGCACGAATCTGTCGCAGCCAACCAAGGTGGAGTCGGTTAAGTTACTCAGGTTGTACTTTGCAACTAGAGAAGGCCATCGAGGTCTTTGTCCACGCGTGTCAAGGAAAGGAAAGAGAGAAGTGAGCTGTCACGGCGAGGGCTGCGGTTCCCGTTAGTGCCCCCAGAACAGCTTTGGAACAGGACCCTAACCAGAGCACACTGCTCGTGAGCAGCTGCGGAGGGGCGAGGGGCGCTGGCCACTTTATGAGCCACAGGCAAGTGGCCACGCCCAAGTTTCTGCCCCGCCTGGGGCTCCTGCTGGCAGCCCTGTGGCCCGGCAGAGGCTGCAGACTCATGGAGCGGAGGGGAGGGGAGGCAGGGCCCTTCCCTCCCCCTCACACCCAGAATGGCCACAGTGCGTGGGTTCTCAGGGAGTGGTCCCGGTGAGTGAGTGATGAAAGCGCAAAGACGAAACACTTTAGATGACACAAGAGCGGTGGTCTCAGCGGGCTACCTGGCCGTGCATGTACTTTTCCAGTGACTATCCGTATAACTCAGAGAGTAAAAACTGTAACATTAGAAAATAAGTTTAGACCAGAATCGTGGTTTTCACGAAGGAGACACACTGTGAACTCTGTTAAGAGTCGGTACTGAGAGTAAATAACTCTGCTGCCTAAGAAAACACAGACCGACTCTGCCCTTCACCACAAGGCACATCCCAGAGCGAAACACTGCAAGCATGGCCATGCTAGACACAGACTGTCCTCCCCAGGAACCCAGAGACTGTCCTGAAAACTACGAGGGACAGATCTAGGGGCCAGTTAACATAGCTCAGCCTGAGACCACACTCCCTCAGGAGCTGCGTCCACACTGCACTAGGGAGACCACCTCCAGCCCCTCAGCCAGAGGGGACAGGTATTCAAATGTTCATCGACTGAAAGGATGTGGAAGCCCAGTGGGCACTGGGCACTGGGGCAGAGCCGAGGGGCTGTGAGTGCCCCAGCCAGACCCAGGCTGCAGCTCCATGGTCCCTCATCCCGTGTTCAGAGAGCACTGGCGCTGAGACCCAGGCTGGTGGGGAGAGGCGGTCGGGAGCAAGTGTAAGTCCCTGCTCGCCTTGCCCCACAGGTCATGCCACAGAAAGTGAGGCTGATATTCACCCCACATGCTCACAGGTTTGGGGAGCACAGCACACACGGCAGGATGAGCAGCCTTGAGGCAAAGGAGACAGTTTAATGAGCCTGACTACAAAGGTATAAATTACAGGGACATTCACGTTGCAAATTACAAAATCACAGCTTCCGTGTTCTTAAAAAGAAAACAAAAAACCCATGGAGGAAACAGAAAGGACCCTGTGAAAATGACTGAGTCCCCTTTGCTGTCACCCGCTGCACATAAGGCGTGTGTCTCTTCAACGCAAGTTCCCAACAGAACAGACTCCTGAGCGACGCATCGGTGTTTGCTCGCCAGGTGACCAAACGCTGGCTGACGCCCACCGAGTTCCATGGGAAAAAACTCCACTGAATGAATCCCCCTTGAATTCTAGCATTTCTGGTGCTGAGCTGTAGCTAGTGGTCCTGACCTGGGTGACAATTTTCAGGACAATCCATCTAAATGAGTCTTTCAGGATCATCTTCACTGGTGTTAACAGTTTTGTGCTAACACTATAAACAGTATCGCATGACATGCCCAGTAGCGTCCTGTTCAGACTAGCGCAGGGTGGTGGGCTCCTTCTGCAAACCAGCCTCAGGTGCATCAAACCCGAGGGCTGCAGGAAGAAGTCCAGGGTCTGCGTTACTGTGGGAGATTTCAGGGCTTTACCCAAACAGGTGCCATCTAGAAAGTAGCTGTGCTAACAGGTCCTTCAGGAATAGGATCGGGGGAAATAATTCACATGTTCTCATCATAGCATCCAGGGCGTTATTCTCACAACCAATCCAGCCAGTTCCTAGCACCGGGCAGCCCGATGCTCACATTCTCAGCGTGACCACTAGACCAGGGCTCCCTGACACGGTCCTCGAAGAGCCAGCATCACAGAGAGGAGCTAAAAACGAGGCCCCAAGCACGTGAGCCATCCACAGCAAGGACGTGAGTGCGAGAAACTGGGAGCAGCAGCACGCAAGGGACAAACAATGACCTGCAGATGCCACCACGACCACAGAGGACGTGGAGACAGTGAAGGAGGCGTCGTGGGCGGGAAAGCAACCCTGAAGGAGGCAGCTGTGGACCCTGCACGGCCATGAATTCTGCACAGAGACAGGTTCACATGCTCAGGAGGTCGGGATGCTGCACGAGCCACGGCCCAGCTTTCAGGAAGAGGGACCAAGGGTGAGTAAAGTGCGCCTGAGAGACTCGCTGGGGACACCAAGGTGCAGGCCTCACGCTGAGCATGGGCGTGGCGCCAAGCCACCTGCTGACAGAGTAGGAAGCACCCAGCAAGCATCAGCTTTGGGACACACCTATCTGACTCGTGCATCTGAGAGTGAAAGCTTGTGGCCTTCACAGCCGCGCACGCTAAGTACATCATCATCATCACCCCACTTTACAGATGAGAAAGTGGAGGCGCAGGGAGAGAAATTACCTGCTCTAGGTCACAGGTCTACAAAAGCACATAAAAATGACTAATAATTATGACTTTATGATCCAATGTTTGCACTATAATCACGCCACATAGTAAAGACAGAAAGTAGAATAAATAGTATTACGTATCTTTGTGTTAAAGTGGTTGTAACTAAGATCCTCCAAAGGTCAGCCGTCCATCACCTGGGAAATTTTGTTAACGAGAATGTCACTCCCACCTGTTCTAGGAAACCTAAATTTAGACCTACTCACGCATGGGATAAGCCCACTCCCTTCCTATCCCATAGTGAGTGACCCAGGACGAAAGAGGAGTCTTTAGGATGCAACCAAATTAAAATACACTGTGGTGTTTTTAAATTACAAAGTGATGCCAACTAGCACTCCCTATACGACGTTCTCACCCCGAAGTCCTGCTGCACCAGTACTTACCCATTTCTGGCGGGAGGTTTGGACCGGTCCGTGAAGACGGGGGTCACGCCGCACAGGTCTAAGGTCGACAGGGTGGCCAGGCAGGGCCAGTTTTTGCCGTACCACACGACTGTGACCGAGGAGTCGTTCACGAAAAGGGCAGCGTGCTCCAGGACCTGTTCTTGCCCACTTTTCCCCTTCAGTATGATCACCCAACCGAGGCCCGATATTCTGGAGACAGAAGACGGGGGCCTCGCTGAAAAACGACGCTGGGCCTACTTCACGCATCACCTCTGAAGCACCCACTTCCCTGGCGCCCCGGTCGACGTTCTCAGAACATGCCTCACGCGGGTTTTCATGTGGAAACACACAGCTTCTCTCTTCAGAGCCAGGGGTGGGCAACCTTTTTGTGCCGAGGGCCACTTGGATACTTATAACATCATTCTTGGGCCATACAAAATTACCAACTTAAAGATTAGCTACGGAGAAAGCTCCCAGATTTATTGAATTTCGAGTCCCACCTGCAGCTGCCTTGGCAGGGCCGGACCGGCCCCGCTCCTGCTTTTAGACCTTTGCTACTCACCCAACAAACACCGCCTACGTTCTGGGTGCTGGTGATGCATAGACGAGTAAGGAGATAAGCAAAGGTCCTGCCAGGAGAAAGGCCTCAGCAGAGTACCAGGTTATTTCTGCTCTTCGTAAAAACTCGAGACCACTTACAGGGACTAGGAAAATGCTGTATATTTTATACACGCACAGAAACACACGCGAATGCCCAGGACAGACAAGGTGCGCCTGCATCCCGCGCACCAGGCGTCGCTCCTCTCCCGGCGACACGCATTTGCGCGGTCAGCGGCACCGGAGCGCGCGGGGCGCCCGCTGCGGAGGGGCGCGCGTACCTGAGGGCCTCCTTGGTCTTCGCCGGGAGGCCCGTGTAGGGGTTGACCAGCTTGAGGACCTGCGCGAGGGCGGCTTTCACGGAGGCGATGCGCTTTGCGATATATTCCCTCTTCCAGAACCCGGCCTCCTTGTCCTCGACGGACAGGGAGCTCACGGACGCGGCCGCCTTCTCCGCCGAGTCCGCTCTCCAGTTACATCGCTTCGGGGAGAAGGCAGCTGAGTAGATCCTGATCCAAATAAAACTGGGGAGGACAGAGAAGAAGCGATCAGCCTGAGAGACGCTGGCGCGCTCCTGTTGTTGTGATGTATTAATTTGGAGACGCCCGGTAACGTTTAAATTATCTAATTCCAGGAACGCGTCTGGCTCAGCACTTACAGTTCTGCGCGTGTCCAGGTGACCTGCAGTCCGAGGTGAGCAGAGTCACTGACCCCAGGAACGCTAATGGGAAAAGCTGGCTTCCCAGGGTCAAGTTAAAACGAGTGACCTCGTGTCACTGGGGTCGTCCACACCTCTGCCCTCCTACTCCAACGACCGAGGAGGCGATCGGTTAGAGAGAAATGGCAAGTGTGTACAGTAGGATTTCCTATCGTTGTTTTTAACATATTCATGGTTTTAAAAAGGTCAGAAAGTAGACACACACACACAGAAATGTCAACACCAACGGTCCTCATGTTGCTTTCCACGTCTTAATTTTTCAGCCGCGCACGTGCGCTGGACGCACAGTGCAAAATGAAGAGCTCTGGGAGCCGACGTAACCTTTCAGAGCGCCGTGTGACAGCTCCGTCTCCGCGCTCTGTACACTCGCCTTCGTTTAGGCCTGACAGCAACCCGTGGCACAGCTGCTGCTCCCGGCCCCGAGGCCCAGACGCACGGGGACCTGGCCGGGTCTGTGAACGTCAGTGTGGACGGTGGGAGCCGAATCCACGCAGCCGTCGCCCAAGCCCACGCTCTCGGCCCGCTTCACTGCCTCCTCGATAACACGCACAGAAGGGCTCAAAGAAACACGGATGGAATAACTGATCCGAGCACGGAGAGCCGACCCGCCACACGCTGGGACCTCAACTCAGCTGTGACCGGAGCCTGCGGCCCTCCCATCCCCACTGGAGGCCATGAGACACCCCAGGAGCAGCGCCGTTAGCAGGGCCAGAGCTGGGCCGGAAGAGAGGTAAACTGCTCTTGGGGGAAACTGAGGCAGGGGTTAAGGTCTATTTCCTAACGGAAAAGGTGACATTCACATCTATAATTTTAATCACTTGCTCATTTACGTCTCCACATTCTATTTAGTGCAGGAAGGGATGGAATGGCCAGTGGCCAAGGGGCAGCGGGCAGAAGGCAATTCCCCTGCAGACGGGGAGACTCAGGGCTGCAGGAGACCGTGGGAGACCCATGGGGCCCCGAGGGTAAGGACTGTTTCGGTCGCTCAGTGACAACCACAGCGGAGCAGGAACACTGCTCAGACATCCAATTCGGGAACTCACCTCCCTGATGCGGGCATTGCATGGACGTCCTAACACACACAATCGGACCCCTCCTGACACCTTTTTTTAGTGGGGGCTTTTCAAGTAACTTCTCACCCCACAAAATCACTTTACACCAAGCTTTTTGTATTTATGCTTTCAGCTCAGAAGTCTGGCTGTTTTG